CCCACCCCACACCCACACCCACACCTACACCACCCACACCCACACCCCCACCACCCACACACACCCTCCACACCCACACCCACACCCATCCTGGTGGGTCCAATATGAGCTGAGACAGCGGGTGTCACTTCATGGTGTTCGCTTGTGAGCTGCCTTCCGGTCAGTCGAGCCTTTGAAAAAAGAGCCTATTAAAACTCAATGGATATTTTTTTTCATCATCTATTAGATGCAATTCAGCAGAATATGTCTATACCTCGTTCTATTTCAAATATTTATTTATTAATCTTTTTTTTCCTTTCGACTTCTTTTACAACATTTCATACATAAATAATATACGATCGCTGAAGGTAAAACCATATAAACGAGTATTACATCGAGTATATATCGTTGATAGAAAGGAAGTGTATGATGAAATGGCATATACCGATCGAAACTGCCATTCAAATTAACTAAAAGTTCAATATCTTCCACTGCTTTTTTCACACCACCAGCATGCTTCATTTCGAGTGACATTAATCGAACTGCTCGTTCGTATGAAATGTTTCGCCACACTGTCAATAGTTTCGTTGTTACATCACTTGCTGAAAACATATAATCATGAAAATCGAGTGGTTTTAAAAACGATTGCCATAGAGATGGTGGTTCAAACAATGATTCTCCGACTCGGGCATCCAAGATCGAAATCGCATTCAAAAATTGATCTACGAATAATGGTACACATATGATAGGTTTTTCAAAGTAAAGTCCTTCTACAATCGAGCCCATTCCACAATGACTTATAAAAACGCTGACTGAATTCTGTTGTAAAATCCATTTTTGTTGAAGAAAACGATTTTCGACTTTCACTCGTTGATCATTCATGAATAGCTGTCGATATTGATCATGCTTCATTTCGTTTAGTACGATTTGATAATTTTCATAATTCGTATTGCGAAATGCCAATAAAGCAAAAGTCGAATCGTCTTGCAAAAGAAACTTAGCTAGGCCATATATTAAATTCGTCATTCGATCATGGTTCAATATAGAAATACTACCGAATGCTACATAGACAACGGACTTCGGAGGTTTTGCTTTAACCCATCGCGTAAGATCATTTTCAACGTATTCAATTGATGATTCATCTACAAATCCGCCAAGATACTTAATATCATGATATAACGGTGATGGTGAATAGAGCGTTGGTGGCATACTGAACAATTGCAAACAATTTACTTTTGTAAGTAATATATTTCTTAATGTAAATACTTCATAAAAAGGTCCGGGTACTTGAGGAAGCGATTGTAAAAGCCTGTAGGATATTTTAAATAATGTTTTACAGAGAGGAATCGTAAAACGTAAAATGAAAGCAAAATTGTAAATACGATATTTGAGTTCGGTCATATGTTTTGATGATAGTAGTGAATAGCTAATAGGTAAATTAATATCAAACAAATTCGGTTGATTTTCCTGAATTATTATTACACATGAGGCTTTTGCTTCTTTACATAGAACAGGTACACCCGCCGTCACGGAAGTACCAATAATCACATCGTATTGCTCCGACATTAATATATTCACGGATTTGGTCATCAAAGCATTGATTGTCGGACTCAGTGTTGACATTGTATAAGCTACACTATCTAACACAGAGTGGTCTATCATATATTCAACTGCTTTTGTTGTTCCCTTTTCATTAATAACTGCATCAGCCTCATCATTCGTATAAATCATACGAAATGATGATAATTTCGAATATCGTTCAGGATTTATATAAGATTTAGCATACGAATCTGTAATAAATGTCACATTATGGTTTTTCAGGGATTTCGCCAATTCGAACATTGGAATGACATGACCTGCATAGCCAATAGTAATCATCAAAACATTGAAACCAAAAGATCCATGGACTAGTGCCAAAAACCAGATACATGACGTGTACAATGAAATCATTACACGTTTACAACAACTGATAAAGTATAAATAGAGAGAAGAGTATCGGCCTCTAAGTGACTCGCATTTTCTTTTGTGTTCTAATCTTCAGCAAACAATTGAGTTGCTATACACCCTAAAAAAACATGTGCGACATCCTTGGGACACGAAGTGCTCGTTCCGACACGTGCGACACATTTACTTTAGTGTGTAAAAGGTTGGATAAGAGCAACTCATAAATAACAGTACTTTTTAAAAAAGCAACATATCAATAAATGTTCCAATAGTGTTTCGATTTACAAAAACTTCTATTAGGAGAAAGAACGAGTCGTTGATAACTCTATTTTGCACTTTATAAGGTGGTTTAATTTATCATGAACCTCGTATCAAGATTCAAAACAGATCTTGACAAAACTTGAGAAAATATGGATCGACTCCTTTCTATTATTCTCCTCAGGATCGAGAGTGTGGATGTTGGTGTGGGTGTGGGTGGGCGTGGGTGTGGGTGGGTGGGCGTGGGCGTGGGTGTGGAGTGTGGGGGTGGGGGTGGGTGTGGGTGTGGATGTTGGTGTGGATGGGTGTGGGTGTGGGTGGGTGTGGGTGTGGATGGGTGTGGGTGTGGGTGTGGGTGTGGGGTGTGTGTGTGAGTGTGTGTATGGGGTGTGACTATGAGAATTGATTTCACCCACACCCACCCACCCCCCCTCCATTTCAATCGGTTATTCAAAAAAAAAGTAATTAATTGAGAAGGATGCAGCGAACAGAACGAAAGAAATTATTCTGCGACGAACACAACGAAAAAATTTGTTCTGCGACGAACATAATGCGGCGAAATGATTGCGACGAAGGGTCGTGCGACTAAATGATTGCAACGAAGGGTCGTGCGACTAAATGTACTAGTACCATCTAATAGCATAGTGTTGCTCTCTGGCAAAATATTTTTGCCCACCCTGTAGTAATTGTCATTAAATGTTGTTCGATTATGTATCAAAAGGACTAAAACAGTATATTCGCATGTTATATCTTCATATTAACCGTTTATTACTATTTGAACAGCTAAACTTGTACTATTCGAATATATCCAAGAAAACTTTTTCTAATTGTATTCTCGATGTTTTAGATGAAAAATACTAGTCTCAAACATTTTATCGTTGATAGTTTACTGCAGAGAAAGCAATTTTGTTCTCTTTCTCAATCTATTCAGCTACTTGGCAACATCTAAAGTTGTTTTTTTCTTTCGCTTCTATCAGTTTTTCAACACGCGTCATTTTTATGTTTGCATTACTTTTCAAAGATTGCTTTATTTGATACAATCAGCCTTTCTTTATAAAAAGGAATCTATCTTCTGCATGTTTTGAAAGAGAATATATGCTCTGTCATGCGATGAATTTCTTCGACGAGGACGATCAAATCGTAAGAGCTTCTTAGAAAGAGGTTACCATTAGCTTCAGACTTTTTTAATACCAAAACTCTGTTGATGAAGGTCGTGCAAGAGATATCTGTATTCAATCAAGTAAAAGATTTGAGTTCAACAAGTTTTTTTAAAATTTATGTAAATAAAATAGAAACCTTGAAACTTCATTCAGTCGACAACAAATCGTGCAAAAAAGCAAATATTTTCGTGAGCATTTTATCAGAAGTATATCGAGCTTTTCTAAGCATGTAAACAACAGTAATTTTTGTGTCAATGAAATTAAGTTCCGCATTGACGATAACAGTAAGTATTACATACATAAGAGCGTGTTCTCGACCTTGTTGTCCACGACTATTTTTATTGAATGTGATGTAATGTACAATTAATTCAAAAATCAAGCAAAAAAAATATTTTCATGTCATTCCTGTATGTTTAAATGTAGCTCGATCAGCTCTACATAGCTTTACATAAGAAAAGATTTAAGATACTATCTTCATGAGAAAATATTTCAACAGAATATGTATGATCAATCATGCCTCGTCAGCGCCGTTAACTTAAAAGATTCACAATGGAATAATTATTTTATACATTCTAATAAGTGTTAGTAAAATATGCTCTCATTCACTTACACCCACTCTGAGCGCTTTTTAATTCGGCAATGGAATCAATCAATAGAATATTGAATTCTCCATTCGTGAGACCTCACTCCGAGTCTTTTTCTTGCAAAAATTTTAAACAAAAAACTCGAATATCATCTTTATACATCCATTCTCACTCACTCTCATCAGATCTTAGTAAGAAAAATAATATTCGACAATAAACAAAATTATTGAAGGACTCTAATATATAAGAATTTATAAAACCTAGAATTAGATCTTGCACTATTCTTCTTGAATCCGTTGCTCTCTTGTCTTGAGCCTATATTTCCAAGCAAATGATTAATGAAATGCATGTATTGCGGGATAAGTAATTTGATTCATATTTCTTTTAGTATTCTTTTCTTTTTCTTTTTTTGTTTCTTCTATGTTCTCTTGCGCATCGTAGATATGCCTTCAATACAAGAGTATGAAAAAAATGTATTTTGTTTCTTTTTGTACATTAGTGTGCGACCGCTATTGTTGAATGAATAAGAGAACATAATTTATTTTCTCTTTTGCTGGATCACTGTTGCACTTCTTGCATTTGTTCTACCTGGTTTCGGTTCAACGAATCAACCTTGGTCGAAGCTATGAGTTATATCTGCAATAGATCGCTGAGTTTTAAAACTAAATGAATTCGAAACAGTATCTTTTCATTCGTTTATTGACATTTTATTCGAAGCTTGAGGACGATGTAGAAATTTAAAGAAAGAATAGTGCTCTATTTGTTTCATTAAAGTAAATCTTTATTGAGTGTTAGAAAACGTACTTCAGAAGTATCGAAGTCTCGCTTTTCTTCCTTGTCCATGCGCATGATACAAGTGTTGTCTATTTCCGTTTCGGGGATGAACTTGTTCTTATTCCTGAGAACGGACTCTCTTTTTGATAACTGTTCTACTTCTTTTATCTTTTGTTTTCATATTCAATCTTTATTTAATATTTGTTGATGCCTTCTTATTTTATATGCACGAATGCCAGCAATGCTTACTTATCGCGAAGAAATCTATGGACTACGAGGACTTGCCGTACTATCAGTTATTTTTTATCACGCCGGTTTTGTTCTGCTGGTTCCTGGAGGCTACGTTGGTGTTGACGTATTTTTTGTTATCAGCGGCTATCTGATTACATCAGTTATCGACATGGAGCTCAGAGAAGGAACATTTTCGCTTATTCATTTCTATGAAAGGCGGTGTCGTCGAATTATTCCAGCACTGTATGTCATTTCGTTCATTAGCTGCTATTTTGCCTACCGTTGGATGCTCCCAGGTCAGCTAAAAGAGTTTGGATATTCTCTGATTTCTGTTATCACTTTTTCTTCGAATATATTCTTTTGGTGGAAAGACGACCGATATTTTTCACGACTAAACGAGTTAAATTCTATGGTTCATACGTGGAGTTTGGCTGTGGAAGAACAGTTCTACCTTATTTTCCCATTGTTGTGCTACCTGCTCGCCAGAAAGCGGCGTTACCTGATCGTTCTTCTTAGTTTTTTCATGCTGTTCAGTTTTTTTCTTGCACAATGGGGAGGCAACATCCAATCTGTCTCAAGTACTACATTTTACATGTTTCGACAACATTCGTTGGCATCATTTTACATGCCTATAGGGCGCGCATGGGAATTACTAATCGGTACTTTCATCGCATTTTACTTTAGGACTAAAGATTCAGTCATGTATGTATTCAGTTTTTGAAATCTTTTCTCTTCAAGTTCGCTAATTGCATTGAAAGAGTAACCTTTCTGAGGGCGTATTTATTATTTATCAGATCTTCAAAAAACCGAACTACCACAAAGAAACCATTGAAACCACATGAATTGCATTGGCGATTCATGAACCATAGCTCGTTATCGAAATAACAGATGGTTATGAGACAAAATAATACAACTTATATGAAAATTAGCTAAGTACTGTGAAACATAAAAATCAGTGTGTATAGATTCGAGAATAATGGTACTGTTGTGTGATTTTGGGACCGAGTTGAGAAGACGGTAGTAATTATCTTCTTGTATAATTTAGTGAGGAAAGAGATCAATGCAACTTCGTATCTAAATTTTTATAACGTCATGAAACCTTTTGAAGTTCACTGTCTCAACATAAAATTCAATAATCATAGAAAATTATGTTTCCTAAAATCACTTGAATAGTATCACTAAAGTCTTTAGTAGGAGCTGTAGCAATTCAGGTGTGTATATGACTCACGAAAAGGCTGATGCATAGCTTGAAAGTCTAGAAATACGATCAACGTCTCATACCGATCTGAAAAAACCCTGCCAGTTGCAACTCTGAATCAAATCGCTAGTAGAATTTTCATCGTTAGACTTCTAAAATAAATCAATCAATTCATGTTTACCAAGTTGATCCGAAATCATGCAGCTATCGATATCATTGGTATCGTAAAACTTCTTCAACAAGCTTTCCACACTGTTCTTAGATACGCTCATAAAAACTAAATGTTTATTATCATAAGCGCCAAAGCTCTCCAGAATCATGAAGGTAGTTCATAAATATAAGCTAGTCTGGCATTCAGTGTGTCAGCTTCTCGAATCTCTACTAAGTAAGAAAATTAAGCACATTGCAAAGATATTACCACTTTCATAAGGATGTTTAAAGAAACAGGAATTTTACACATGCCCCTCGCCTAACTAGATTTATGCTATTCTGAGATTTTTACGAGTGTTCATTTATTATACGAGGTATCAAGAGAATCTGTTTAATGAAAGAAAAGTACAATTATTTTCAAGTTATATGAAGTGCACATTATTAAATTTGTCGTATATACTTTTCAGCTCTAGAAAATTGCCTAGCTTATGGACACAGCTTTTTGCTCTACTTGGACTCTTGATGATTATAGTATCTCTCCTATTATTTGACAATCGTTCCATACCTCCATTTCCTAAC